AAAAAAAAACTTAAGGGTCCTTCTGTTTTAAGTTATTACGTAATTAGCTAACCTAGAAACATTTTATATTGACCATATCAATGTTAAAAGTCTTTTATGTTTTAAATATATAGATTGACTTGGCCATCGCATGAAAACACAATGTATCTCACAAGTAATAAAAATTATATTAAATTGAATTGCTTAGTGCGACGGCAATCCCTCCTTTAGATCGACCAAATAAGACATCACTTTAATTACTCGCTAATTATCTTTCAATTACGCGATTTGAACCCGTGGCACGCATCGCTTAGCTACTACATTATAAAACCATCAAAACTGACTACTTTAACTTGGAGTCTTTACTTTCGTATAAAGAATCTTTGTTCTAACACATCAAACTATTACTTACTCTAGTCTAATATTAGAACGTATGAATAGAAAATTATTGAACAAAAGTTTGTGACTCAATATTTTTATACACGTAAGACATCTTGGATTTCATCAAGCCAGAAATTCAGTAGCGAAACACGTGAGATATTAAGTGTAAACACGTCTTTAGCACCGACCTCGGCCACCTCAACCGTAGCCGGGATCATTAGTACAGAATTAAACCGTAAGCGCTTCAAAAGCCGCCACCCGTGCACTTGACTCATCTCATTTCATGGGATATATTTGGAGCGCCTTTGTATCAGTATTCACATCGTCTGTTCGATCAGGAGACAAACTACAATAGACAAAAATTTTTTTTACGTTAAATCTCCACTGCAACTATAGTTGCAGCACGTATGGGTTGATTCGATCGTGGAAGACAGTGCTCTCACAGCGGAGACCTTTTTTACTGGTTACGAAGCATTCCATCTTAGTCCTCGAGTGTGAAAACGCATCTGAATTTTAATTCTTAATGGAGGATGGATGTAGGTGTCAATGGGCCACAATATATACACTTACCATCAAGTAGACTGTATGCTCGTTAGTCATGCTCATATGTAAATACTATAAAAAATAAGGAATACGCTTCATTGTATACAATCACGTTTTATCGACGCTTATCCTGCTGTTTAATTTAGTTATGGGATGGTAATATAATAGGATCGCGACTGCGTAGCCTATAGAGGTAGGTGGAAGACTGTGAGTCCTCGGTTTATGTCCATGCCGGAGGCAAAATTTGTGCAAGAGCACACATTCTTTGATAGACAGTCACATAATGATCGCGATTGACTAAAACTAGTAGAAATCGAGTTCTGATTTCTTATATTTACACGAACACAAATCAAAAAAAATATCAAATTAAACTAGTTTTTAGGGATTTTATCACGTATATTAACTATATTATATATTTTATATTCTCGACGTGCTCTAAAGTATTCGAAACGTCTGGGGGGGACTAAGGTGTTCGATATACCAATGTCATGGTTAACCATGGCTCGAAATAATTCTTGGTTCGATTTACGTAGCTTATAGTATCTTGAAGTCTTGCAGTTGTGTGCTTGGGTTGGGTTTTATTTTTATTAATTATAGGATTATAGCCAGATGGTAGCACCCAGCCATGTTCTCTATTGAAATTAGGATGTTTTTTGATTTCAAAAGCCTCGCGAATCATCCTTAGAAGAAACTGGTGTTCCTTAGCAAGAATTTGTGGTCTATCAAATACGATGTAGTGCTGGGGGCCACTACATCAGTGATACACTGTGCAGACTGCGGACTTCTTTTCTCTGAACACGTACAGAATCTGTTCCATTTTTGTTTTGTTTCGTCGTCTTGTGTAAATATATCATTATTGGTTTCAAACCGATATCTTCTTTAAACCAACATTAAGATTTGTTTTAAACATAACATCATTTTATATCTCTTAGGAAACAAGGTGTTACTATACTGAAAAAAAGTAACCTAGTTACCCAATTTCACTTCATACAATTTCTCTATTTTCTGTTCAATTTCTCTGACATTGTATACTGGCCTCTCCGATCCCTTCGCAGAAGCATTACATCCACTAATCTAAACACTGATAGCATCTTTATTAGCACGTAAAATTCGCGCCCTTAAATTTGAGTTGTGATTTATTACAAAACAAACTCAAATAATATAGAAGGAGATTGTAAGGAAAAGGGAAGTGAAAGTTTAACGTTTCTATAATATCGTTTTGCAATTGGTAGTAAGCTATAATTGGTAGTAAGCTACAATTGGTAGTAAGCTATAATTGGCAAAGAGAGAAATAATATTGTTTTATAATTTATTTATTGATTTCCTATGATAACGCTAATATAATCATTGAACGGATTTACCGATTTTAATATTATTTACAAATTTGTACCCTTTTGCATCATTGCCCATTGTTAGACCATCACACAGACCAACAAATGAATACATAAATTAAAATAACCCCTGGGAATGAGGTGATCGCCGCCATGCTGGCTCTATAAAAATTCATACAAAAATTGTACAAAATAAATTTTTAGTAAATTAAAATATATTTAAAAAAAAAAGTTCCGCTGGGTTTCTTGTTGGCTCTTCCCAGGACAGAGGTTTTTTAGCGAACCAGTGGTAAATTAAAGAAACGACTTTCAATAAGTATTATACCTATAGTAATCTATATTGAATAAAAATCATTCATTTCATTTCATTTCATTTCATTACATATTCATTACATTCATTTCATATAGTATAGTTATAGCACGAATGGGTCGGCTTGACCGGGTAAGGACCACGCTCTCGTAGAATACCAGCGTAAAATAGTAGCTTAATGCTGCTGTGTTTCGTATGGTGAGTGTAGAGAAAAAGAGATCCTTTTTACTGGAAACGAGGCATTCCATCTTAGTCCTCACGGGTGACACCGCATCTGCATTTTGATTTGTAATCGACGATAAATGTAGATGTCTATGGGTCGCAGCAACCACTTACCATCAGGTGGACTGTGTGCTCGTTTGGAAATTGGATCCCAAAATTCTTCCAATAAATTTATTAACTGTTATTAACATTAACTTGTTTCTCACCCGTAAGTAAATTTAAACAATTGTAACACTTTCTTTTTTCATTTACATATTTAAAGATAAATTATTATACGACCGAATAAAAATTTGTTGCCATCTCTTTGCGAAAAATTTACCGAATTGCCTGCTAGTGTTGAATAATAAATAAGTTGAAAATGAGCTGCTAAAAGGGGCAAACGATTACATCGGTAAAGCGAATTTATAATTTTAGGAAAGAGATATTAAATACTAAATAAGACCCTAAAATAATGAGTAAGTGACTAGTACTAACTTTAGTTTTGAGCGTAGGCCCTGATTTACAGCGATTTACCAGAACGATCCTTGTTCACACGACTTCTTTGTAGAATTCGCTACCACCAGATTACATAGACTTAGTAAACTTCAAGAAAAGATATATTATATTATACGTGGTAGAGCCATGCTGCAGTTATATTAGTAGTATAGTTGTAGCACGAACGGGTCGGCTCGACCGGGGAAGGACCACGCTCTCACAGAATACCAGCGTGAAATAGTAGCTTAATGTTGCTGTATTTCGTATGGTGAGTGTAGAGAACCGGAGACCCTTTTTACTGGAAACGAGGCATTCCATCTTAGTCCTCACGGGTGACTACGCATCTGCATATTGATTTGTAATCGAGGATAGATGTAGATGTCTATGGGCCGCAGCAACCACTTACCATCAGGTGGACTGTGTGTTCGTTTGTCACCCTATCCTATAAAAAAATATCCTGCTTCTTTTTAAAAGGATTACAACGCACCTGCTTATCATCTAATGTTGCGATTGTTCATGAGCGGTGGTGGTCACTTACCATCGGGTGAGCCGAAAGCTCGCTTGCTCCCTCTCCTACAAAAAGCTACCTGTGCTACTATTATCTAAATAACATTACGCAACCCAGCACGATATTTTTTCAAGAGGTTTCGCTTTATCCATCACTTATTTTTATTTATTTTTATAGAAAGAGGGTGACAAATACAAGTGAGCTCACAGTTCACCCGATGGTAAATGGACGCTGCGTCCCATAGACATCTATCTTCGATTAAGAATCAAAATGTAGAAGCGTATTCACCCCTGAAGACTAAGATAGGATGCCTCGTTTCCAGTAAAAAGGGCCTCCGGTTATCTACACTTCACCGTATGAAACATAGAAACATTAAGCTGCTATTTTACGCTTATAATCTGTGAGAGCGTCGAAGGAATGGGTCGACTCGTACTGGGATGAGCTCGTCGTGCTACTACCATATATAGTTGCGTTAAATAAATGGTAAATAAAATTATTGTTTATCTTTCACTTTTTAGTCAGTCACATCTAGTCGCTCACTTAGTATTTGAAAACCCAGTATTCGTTATTTTTGACACCTTCAATTGGAATTATAATCACTCGTTTAAATAGTTACCAGTTTTAAACATGATGAATAAGTTTTGTCAATCTTAATTCTTAACGACGATGTCCCTTTAGTTAATGTGCCTTTAAAAAAAGCCATCGTAGAACATAAATTATGCCAATGCTCGGGATTCTCGACGTTCCGTAGCGAGGATTGCATCTGAATAAAAAAATAAATAATGCGATCTAACTTTATAAATAACTAGATTTGTGGAGCAGCGGCGCCGACGCTGTATAGAAGAAATATAGGATAACGCGTTGAATATACGTATACGTACATACAAATATATAATCCAGACTGAAATAATCAAGACTCTACGTTCAGAACGCGTATAGCGCGCACGCACCTAACGTACCGGGAAAAAAAAACGAAAACGCTATCGTCTATTTACACGTGATTTTATGTTCGCGTTACAACAATTAAAAATTTGGAAAATGTTCTGTATTGTGAGAGTCAATATTTTTCATAACTTTCATCTTAGTTATAATGTGTACATTAATTTTCTGACAATGTGTTTAATTCAATAATTTTTTTTCTCAAAAGTGTCACACACTTGTGAAACAACTATTGTGATAAATCTAATATGGAAACTATAGTGGTGTATTTTAAATAGATAGTATATATAAAAGTGTGACAATATAATAAAATATGGTGGCCATTCTGGATATTTCTGAACGTGCAACTAATAGTTATTTTTCGTCGTTTTTACCTGTAAGTTACTATCTTGGTAGTGGCCCTAGTTCTATCCGTAATAAAGTCATCGATTTGTAAATGTGTTAGTAGTTTTTGGCCCCGAATGAAAATAATATTTGTAAGCTTGTAACTCTCATAAACAACTACCTATCATAAACGAATCTCAGCCAACTATATTTCTTTTTACTTATCACAGAGTTTTTCATTAGGGACCGGGTATATTTGAATTAAATAAAACACATTGATTGTTTACGATTAGATTTTTTGTGGAAGGCTTATTCGTCGGTATAATGTATGGAATACCACATCATATAAATGACCAACCACCTCAACTTCGTATGGAAGCGTGAATACGAGAGGTCCAATTTTCCATCACTTTTTAAACATGCCGCATTTTTAAAGGCGCCGCTGCCTCTATTTCATTGATGACACGTGTGTTGTTACTCTTTAGGTCTTCAACAGTTCTTAACTTGTTTGCATTCACCAGTGATTTCACATAACCTCACAAAAATAATTAAGGGATAAGGGAATAAGGGAGGGAACGGAGGCCCTAATCCCCGAATCTTGAGATCAGAAACCCGTGTAGGTTCTCTTTCAATATATTGACTGTTTCTGTGGCGATGTGAGTGGTGGCCTGATGAACCCAGATGTCTATCAGATCTATTTCTTCAGATCGTTTTCCAATTCTGGTCAAAGAAAACTCCTAATCATGTGCCAGTAAAGATCACATGTCACAGTTATGCCAAAGACCAATTATGCCCCAGCCTGAAATGCGCATCAGACAGTCATTCTTTCAAAATGCAACGGCCTTTCATGAACCTCTTGAAGATTTTCATTTGCCCAAATGCGACAATTTCGCTTGTTTACAAAGGCGTTGAACCGAAACTGAGCTTCATCGATAAAGATTATTTTCTGCGAGAAAATGCAGTCGTTATAAAGTTGCTTATAAGCCCAATTAATGAAATTTTGGCGCTGGGAATGGTAACTAACCTTAGTATCAGCTTTTTGCAAAATTTGCCATGCGGAAGTCTTAGATAGGTCGACTTGTTGAGAGCGTTGTGGAATTAAGAAGTTCGAGATTTCTCTCACACTTTCAGTCACCGATACGATATTCACGATGTTTCGCACATTTTGAAGACGGGTAGGGTGATACATCACCGAGCCAGTGGTTTCAATTATAATTTTGCAATTTTTTGGGGTTGATACTTCCTTACACTTGACGGCATCCGAGGAACGCTGGCTATTATCTTGACCATAAGTTTCACACTTTAATTATTTCAACACGCTGCTCAACTGTATAGCGACCACACATTTAATGCCTTATATAGATGTTAGACTGTTGTGATTTTTCATAGGAAAAATCACAACAGTCTAACATACAACCAATCACAATCTAACACGGCCGCTATCGGTTTTGAATAATACCTTGTCGCTATTGAAACACCCTTTATAAGCCAGTACTTGACTACAATGGCACCTGATGGTAAGTGGTGATGAAATCCTAGAGCAAATCGCACTTTCGTATTGTAACAAAACCTTGTTCACTCTGACCTTGAAGACATCCGGATTGTAATCGTGTTTATTCCACTCCTTTGCATTTCGCATCACGAAAGACGATGCAAGCTGTTTGATTCGAATGCGTGAAATATAGGCAACAACGGGGTAAAGGCCCGCCAAACGCCTGGATGTCCTATGGTGGAAAGGGGATGTAGGAACTAAGACGTGTACGGCGTCCATAGAGTCACTGCATGCCTCATTATGAATTATTATTTCAATAACATTAAAAAAGTAAAATAAGAGCCAGCATAATTGCTGAACTGAGATGTCGTTTAACTTTCGAGGAAGTTGTCATATTATATCCTATCTAGTTTGAGTTCATATAAAAACCCCATAGAAAAAGAGCACTTCGTTTTCTCCGAATTCGAAAACTTTCTGGGATTTTTTCCGAATTGATTACCGAACTGTTATTTTGATTGTGACGCTGACGTTGACGCTCGCACACACGCAACACGCACACACACACCCACACCCATACGCACGCACACAATATCAAATTCTTTAAAAATTAAGTGTTCTTTAGGTTATGTAAATAGTACTAAATTGTAAATTGGTAGCATGCTGTGATTACCTTTAAGTGATTTTACATTTAAAAATAAGACTACCGTATTTTTTTTTTTCAAATATGTAATAATGTATCAATCGTTGGTAATCCCAATAAATAAAGAAACAAAAACTGTTGCGAACATCTTTAACAATCGGTGTCTCATCATATTAAGTTTAATGTGACGTGCAACACACAATTTGAATTTGAATTTGAGCATTTCATTTTAATTTATAGAGATAATCAAATGTAACATATTGAATTTATCTGCTCCATTATGGCTATGAATTCATTACCTCTTTATCAAGTAGCTGAACAGCGAATAGGTCAACACCAAATAACTTCCTTTATTTGCAAACTCAAAATAAACAAAGAATAAAAACCACATTTCAAAATGCTTGAAACACAGCCAAAAAACCGTCCTTGAGTGTCTTATAGACAGCAAGGCGAAATCATTGTTAGTAAATCTATTTTTTGCGTTTTGGTTACTCACTTTTAATGTATTTCTGTATTAATATATAAATAGACAGCTGTTGTCCAGTTGTTATAGTATATTAATAGAGACGCGTGTGTTGGTTGCGTAGGAGAACGCATAACTCTACTTTTTTATTGGATGGGGTGACAAACGAGCACACAGTCCACCTGATGGTAAGTGGTTGCTGTGGCCCATAGACATCTACATCTATCCTCGATTACGAATCAAAATGCAGATGCGTTGTCACCCGTGAGGACTCAGATGGAATGCCTCGTTTCCAGTAAAAAGGGTCTCCGGTTCTCTACGCTCACCATACGAAATACAGCAGCATTAAGCTACTATTTTACGCTGGTATCCTGTGAGAGCGTGGTCCTTCCCCGGTCGAGCCGACCCCTGCGTGGTACAACTAAACTTCTAATATAACTGCAGCATGGCTCTACCACGTAAAAAACTATAGGCAATTATATAATTTTTTTATTAAACTGGAGTGACAAACGAATTTACAGTCCACCTGATGGTAAATGGCTCCTGTAGTGCATTGCCACCTCCAGCCAACTTCAAAGGAGGCTAGAGGTGCGTTATCACCCGATCTAAGATCAAGCAAGTAATTATACTGGCTCTTTGTATCATTTAGACCCGAACACAACAATGTAAGCATTGCTATTGTCGGAAAAAAATTGGTGAGAGGGCTTCTAGAAAGGTTCCCGAGGGATTATGCAAAAATTTACTTAAAAAATTGAAATGGAATGATCTTAAGATTTACTAGAATGTATTTATGCCTATAGCTATACCTCTGATGGGGTGAAATACAACAATGTGAAACGTTTTTATCAGCAATTACCAATCAACTCATATTGCGTGGCGGTAAGGCATTTTCTCAATTTGGGAGTAATTTGCTGTATTAATTCCAGCAGTGAACGATTATTAAAAGGAAAGTGTAGGAAAACTGCTGAATCAAATTTTCCGGTTTACCTCACTAATATTTCTATATATCCGGATTTTTAATTTACTTATATTTTTTAAATTAAAATATTACTACATTAACAATTTCAATTTTAATTGATTAAAAGCACCTAAGCCGCGGCCGTATAGTGGCGGTTAAGAAAATCTACTTCCTGTGGGTGTCGTAAAAGGCGACAGAGGGATACAGGAAACAGGAGATGAGCAACAGCATCTTCCTGATAGCAGCAACTATACAAAAAATTGCGGTTGCCAACCCGTTCGTCAAGCGTGGCAACTATGGCAATATACCTCTCATGATAGTTACGAAGAAACGGCCCCCAGTCCCCGGCGGCCCCGCTATTCCTGGCTACGGTGGCGACCATGGTAACGGTGGGGCAGGGGGTGCTACGAATCTCCGATAGAGGTTCGGTTGCCACCTACGACGACTCAACCTGGCAACATATAACGCGCGCACCCTGAGGACTGACGAGAAGATCCTGGAGCTGGTGGAAGAGATAGACAAGTTGCGCTGGAATATTATAAGATTATCCGAGGTCCGAAGAGAGGGGAAGGACACGGTGATTTTTGAACCCGGCAACTTGTTCTATCATTGGGAGGGCGACCATCTGTCCCATATCCCGGACGTCAGTCTGAGCGAGGTTAAAAGGGCTCTCCAGCACCTTAAAAACAGAAGGGCCCCAGACGAGGGTGGAATTACAGCGGAGCTTCTGAAAGCGGGTGGAAAACCAGTACTTTAAGTCCTTTAGAAGCTCTTCAATTCCGTCCTCCATGGTGACACTACTCCGGAGGCGTGGAGCAGAAGTGCGGTGGTCTTGTTCTTCAAAAAAGGCGACAACGCTCTCTTGAAGAACTACAGACCGATTTCTCTTCTGAGCCGCGTCTACGTGCTCTTTTCGAAAGTCATTACGAATCGTCTTGCACGCAGACTCGACGACTTCCAGCCTTTCGAACAAGCCATTTTCCGAAAAGGCTTCAGTACCATAGACCACATACATACCCTGCGGCAGATTGTACAGAAGACCGAAGAGTGCAATCTGCCACAGCAAAAAGATGACTTACGGATCTGAGACGTGGCCTTCACTGCTGGCCGTGTGAGGACGCTCAATGTCGCTCAGCGAGCTATGGAAAGGGCTATGCTCGGGGTTTCTCTGCGTGATAAACTCAGAAATGAGCATATCCGCAGTAGAACCAGAGTGACCGACATAGCCCAACGGATTAGTAAACTGAAGTGGCAATGGGCCGGCCATATAGCATTAAGAACCGTTTACTAATGGGGAAGAAAGGTTCTCGAGTGGCAGCCTCGTACCGGTAGGCGTAGTGTAGGGCGACCCCCCACTAGATTGAGTGACGACCTGGTAAGACATGCAGGAAGTCGTTGAATGCAGGTGGCTCAGGACCGTGCTTTGTGGCATTACTTGAGGGAGGCTTATGTTCAGCAGTGCACTTGTGTAATGATGACCTAAGTCGCACCCTAGCCCACTGTCGCTGATATAAGGTGCTTTCGTATTTTCGACAAAGTTAACAGAACTCATAGTTATTTTGATCATTATTTGGACTTTATTGGAACTAGTTTTAAGCAATAAGCAACTTTTTGATTTTACTCTTTTCTATGAATAAATCGAATAGACGTAAATTCAATCTAAACCAATTTACGGATCGTTAGTTAAACTGCACAAATATTTAATTATTTCTTTCTCATTCCAGACTGTCAACTCGCCTCCAGTGCCGCATCGTGACATCAATGCAGCGTCTACACCTTCTTATCGATCGTACAACGATGACAATCCCGTCCAACGCCGAATAGATAGACCAATCCAAACTGAAATTGAAGTAGAACGCAATAAAAAAGATAAAAAATGGTCAATAGGAAAACTTTTCAGAAGAAAGAAAAAAGAAGAAGATAGTGGTTCATCATCACAAAGCGACGAAGATGTTAGTAACCGATCACCAAAGAGAAAGTCAAAGAAGAAAAAGAGGCCACCTCCTGTTAATAATTTTGATCATATTGTTATCAGAGATTCAAGAAGAGCCCAAAGCTTGGGTAAACCAAATTTGTGCGATGTTACTGATGACGGAATGTTATCTGATCCTTCAGCAGGTTTCTTCAATTACAGAGCTAAGAATCAGGATTTATGTGGGCTATCGAAAGAGTCTCTCAGCTTAAAGGACGATCATTCTAGCAAGACAGGGAGAATTGCTAGCGAAACTCCGTCGCGGAAATCACGCAAGGGGCGATTGAAAGCTAGAGTAGAAGCTTTGAGAAACAGCATGAAAGGTGAATCAAGTAGCGACGAAGAATCACTAAGATCTTCCAATTCCTCATCCATTATACGATTTAGAAGTGAAGATTCGTTAATGCGTTCACGTGACAGTTCTTTAAACAAGAAATCCAGAACAGCTAGAAATGAGCGTTATATTAAAAGATTATCTCGTGATGAAGAAAATCAACTCAACAAAGAAGCTGAGTTATTACAACAAGGATATACAAAAGCTGAAGTCGAAATGCTAACACGAACACCGACTAGTCAAAGCAGTGGTTATGGAACTTGTAAAAGAGAGCCATCAAATAAAGCAATCCCTGAAACTGTTATTCATGAACCTAACAGGGTACCTCTAAAAACAGATTCAGTCTCATCATTTCCATCTACTCAAAGTTACCCATCATCCATAAACTTTAACGCAAAGGTTAATAATGAAAACATTAACTATTCCATAAAATATTCAAATATTAACTCGGCTCGGGATCCATTTTCTGCTAGTAACAACATAGAAACTACCGCCGCTAATAATTATGAAAATTCAGAGACTGTTATGTATGTTAAATTTCCTTTGGGAAATGTAACCAATGTAAAAAAAGATGAAAGAGCTCCACCAGTACCTCCGCCGAGAGATAAGCATAGAAAAGTGACAACACCTCTTTCAATGTACTATGAAAATAATCCCATGGTAGCTGATAGGGTTAGCAATAATCAAATTATAACCCACGGTGTACCAAATAATGATTTTGAAAGAATTATGAGGCGAAGCCAAGAAAGATCAATGGGTTATGGACTAAACGGTCTTCGCAGGCCTATATCAAACTCTGAAGATCACATTGCTATGCAAAGTAACGAAAACATTCATAACATATATTATCGAAGTGAGCAACCTCGACGACCTGCTTCAGTTTCTGCTGAGCCAAACCATTACGGAATGTATATGAATACTCCTCCTTGGCGACAAAAATATGAGCAATCCAGTATAATTAAACCCGAACCTGTGCAATTAAGACAGGATTACTTATACTACGCGGATCAAAGTCCGCGATCTAGAAGGCCAATAAGTATTAAGGCTGGTCAGAATGGTAGTGAAAATCAATATTTAAGTGATTCACAAACTTTCTCTAATGTACACGGCAGTGTATATAGGAGACCTAGAAATGCATCAGAGTTTTGGAAAAAAATTGATAATGCAGAAAGGCAAAGGCAGCAACAAACGGCATTCGCTAATTCCCGAAACAACAGTGAATATTCTAGTAATTCTCAATTATACAGATCTCTATCGGATCAAAATAAAGCTATAGGAAAAATCATTCAAAAATGTGAAAACACCCATATTCAAAATAAAAATAAATCAAACGATATAACGGATGGTGCAAAAATATGGAAAGCTACAACAGAGTACAAACGATCCGTAACAGTAGAACCTGCAAATATTGTATCGTCACCAACAATAAAAACACACGTTCGACATAAATCTGATACTCTTATTCCAAGTAGCTACCAAACACCATCAGATGACGAAAAAACCTCAGAACGTCGAAAGTCTACGAATCTTGACGACGCATTAAACGAGTTAGAAGCAATTTACAACAGTTTAGGGTTAGGCGACGAAGATTTATTGGATAGAGCTGAACGCCGTGAATTAATGACTCCGAAATTCAACAATAATTTCGATGATTGTAATGGAAATGATAATGAAATTCAATTACGAAGTCAACCAACTACTCCTTTGCGACGTATCTCACGCAGATCCACCTTACCAGACAAATTGCAAGATGACATGGCATTCCGAAGAATGAACTCATTTTCTAAAAAAGATAAACCAAATTACAAAGAGGCCCAGGCTCAAATTAGCTATATGTTAGCATCGCCTGTATACGTTCCCTATGCGTCCGATGATGATCGACATTCAGAACGCAATGAACCTGACATTGTTTATGACGATGTTGTTTACAGGAATATCAAGCAAACAAACAATCGTTTAAAGACGCTTGATCCACAGCCACCTTTTGGTATTCCTGTTGGACCGGTATCTCCAGCTCCACAAAGTGATTACTTACATGCTACTCCTGAAAATAAAGGAAGATCTCGTTTCATACCAAAAAGATCTCCCGACATTGTATCAGATGATTTGGCTTACAGAAGTCTGCGAAAAGATAATAAACATACATCATTATTTAATAATGAGGAATTTGCTGGGCATATTAATAATAACCATAGCTATCATGAAAGTATACACAATAAGGATTCAAGTGAAAATATTAAAAAGAAACGTGCAATTAGATCACTTTCAGCAAACATATTCACAATGATTCAGAAAGAAATTGATGATGCTTTAAATATGAGTAAAACACCCGCTTTACAAAAGACACACAGTAACAGTGATGTTATGAGACGCCTTCGAGAAACCTATGAAAACAAAGACACAAAACAAGATCATTATCAACGTAACAAGGTAAAACAACGTAACAATACTGTTAATATATTTGTTAATAACCCTCACACCACCACACATCATTTTGCAAAAGACGACTCATTTATTCATACCGACATCAAAGGTTTTGCTATGTCATCATCATGTGATAAGACAAATAGTTCATCTCCGTCATATAAATCGCCACAAACATCAAAACGATCATCGAAAGATGAATTTCAACAAGTTCTTAGTATGTTAGCTCAGGAAGCTATGGACACAAGTAACAAACTAGGTGTAGCTTTAGCAGAATTAGATAAAAACCGAAACAACAGTGAGAAAACATTAGATGTCCCAAACGCACTTTCTGATAGTAGAGTAAACTTTTTGAATGAATTAACACAAAAATCTTTCGATAATATAGGAAATGACACTAAGTCTTTAAAAGATTCACCCGATGATTTTCATGTACAAAAATCAGATGAACAAGTCAGCGATGCAAATAATAAAAAGGCTAAAAATACTGAAGATAGTTTGTTTACTATATCGAACCAACTACACAAAGTTGAAGATCAACTAAAGCAAAGTTTTGAAAAAGAACATAAACTTTGTGACGATAGCTTAAAACTTTCTAATCGTGTATGTCAGTCTGATGAACCAATAAAGACATCAGAAACTATTATTATTACACCGGATAACAAAAATATTCCTGATGTTTCAATTGCAGTAAAAGATGATGCGGTTAGCATAGAAAATGAACATGAAAACGATAATCATTCTGACATAACAGTTTCTACTTCACAAATAAATTCGCTTAACCCATTTTTGAACTCAACGGATAAGGTAAAAGAGATAGACGAGATAAACGCCTTCAAAGAATTGAAAGATGGTATTTCAGACTTAATCGCAGGAATATCCGAAGTCAACGAGAAATTATTTATGTCTAAAATGACAAAAAGTGAAGCTAGCGATGTCAATGAATTCTCAGGAATTTCGGAAGCTAGTCAGAAACTAATTAAAGTGACTCAAAATGATAGCAAAAACATTGCTCCGGATAGAGATTCGGGAAGTCTATCCGTTTATGAAGATGATTTTGATGTAAAAAAAGATGCTGCTGACTCAACAGAATATAATTCATCAGAAGAACTCGCTACAATATTTAAGTTAGACGGTAGTATTAAATCAGCGACAAATTTCAATGAAATAAACAACGAAACTGCCAAAAAACCGCGCGAGGACCTGAGCTCACCTAAGCTCGTTAAGACGATGAATCAACAACTGAGGCGACTCTCAGTTGATGAAGGCGATACTAGTCAAACTAATAATTCACTGCCATCTAATGTAGTTCCATGGAGAGTCAAGCGACCATGTAATAGTTCAGAAAAAGAAAAGAGAGGTATGTTATATGTTTTCATGCATGGTGTTTGGATAGCATATTAACCATTTTGCATCCCTTTCATCGTTTATTTTCAGTTCACCATTTGTGCTATTGTTCTTACTTAGTATCTAAAAATATTGAGTTGTGTGAATGCATAACTTATTACTTTTTGTTTTTATTGTATGCAGTGTTTTTGTTTTAGCAAGCAATAATACGCAGTCAAAGCGAAACTGGCACGACTCAAGCACGTTGATGTTAGCTTGTTCTTATACTCTGATGCTCTCCCAACACCTGGCTGATATGGATTGGTTGATGCTCTTCGGCTTGCTGTTGGCAATGATAACCATCATCGCTATGCTATTAATTTAATTGTATGCAAATGTTTAAATCGATATAATCCTTTATTACGGTTTTTTTAACATTACATAGAATTTGTTTTTGTTTCAGTAACAAAATATACTAATAAATATAAATTTTATATTTACCACTAAGTGTATGATTTTTTATTTTATTATTTTTGTATTTTACATCAAATTGATATTAAAAATACATAAGGTTTTGTTTACATTTATTTAAATGAAAAAAAAAATCTTTATAAAACCTTTGTAAAACGCAAATACGTAAAAATCTTGTAAGTGTAAATGGAAATAATAATAAAAGATTTTAACCTAAACGATGATCAGAATGTCAAGTGCGTTTAAATGAAAGACATTTAATATTCTAATTTTTATAAAATAGTAATATATTTTAGGCCTGTTAAAATGAAAATGATTGAATTGATATTACTATTAAAAGGAATATGTAATATTTCAATGCTTAGCTGTGATGTTATCGTTAATTTTTAAATTTTATACTAGGTCTTTATTATTTGTATTAGTGTTATCATCTTTATGGTTCCTTATTTTGGTGCCAAAATTATGAAACGAAATAACATTTTGAATGGTATTAAAACTTAGTTTATAGGTGTTTGCCGTTTATTCGATCGGATCATTAGCCACACTAATATAACGAACTGGACGAATAGAAAAATCGTGTTTCTATTAAACCAACCAAAATTAAAAAGAGTAGAAAGAAAAATGACAACAAATTCAAACAAAATACTACTCCATTCTTTAGTATTTATTTTAACGTATTTTCCAAAAAAATTCATGCAAATCAAAATACATTTTATTTTTAAATAGTTGGTAATCGCAATTGTTTTTAAATTGTTTGAGTTATTTTCATGAAGATGTTGCTGCCCATCTATTTTTTTTTTCTATCGCCTCGTGTGACACCCACGGAACGATATGAGGTAGTGGATTCTCTCACGGCATAAAATACAGATAGTGTATACATATACGGACATATTAGAATTACTCTATCTGACTGTTCACTACGAACAAAGGGTCTCTCAGTCGTACGAACAAAAGCCTATTGAAGGTCCGATCGGATGAGCGTGAAAGACTCGGTTTTAAAACGTCTCGCACGTTAAATTCATGTTTTTTTTCCACAATTTGTGCATGTTGCATTTAGTGTTAAAATTTATTTACACATTTTAATACATATTTTTATTTGTTTAGATATTATTAAAAAGTAAAATCATTGCCGCTTTTATAAATTTTAAGAAAAACAACAAACGAACAACGAAAATGATTACAAAAAATATTCTTAATTTTTTATTTGCTTTCAAATTTATAACTAAAGTTGTAATAAATTAAATAGAATGTCAAAAATAAGTCATACGTTCGATTAAAATATCTTGCCAAAAATGTCTTGTAAGTAAGTGTTCCAAATTTTAAAGTATTAAATTTATATTTAAATCAGTGTATCTATATCTTTGTGTTCACGTTGCATACTTAAATAACATTTTCTTATAACAGTGGTTTTGATATCAAATTATGTTAAAACGGTATTAGGCAATATGTATAACGAATATCTATTACTCTTTGACTTTGTAATTTAATAATCTTGTGCCTTCTATATTTTTAGGTGAACACTGATAGCAGCTCTTGTATTACTCCAGACAACTGACCAGTTCTACATTTTTTTTCTGTATTACGTACAATTATTTTAAATGGAGCTTTCTTGATGAATTGAATTGTACTGTTATACCTTCGTAATTTTTAACTATGTTAATGTAGAGGCTTCCAGTTACATTTTAAAAGAGCGTTATTTATATGAGAGAAAAGTTATAATTTAAATAAAAATGTTTCAGTTTAATTTGTTATTTTATTTAACCTTCATGAGGCAAAGTAAGAAAATCCGTCACCCCATCTATTCTCTCTCTCTCTCTCTCTCTCTCTCTCTCTCTCTCTCTCTCTCTCTCTGTTTTGCTCGCTCTGATTTTTCTTAAATAAAAAAAGGAAATTACCCACACCGACGACAGAGAGAGGAGACAAAGATGCGAGACATCTGGTTCGTTCTGTCTGCCGAGCAAGGTGATTATGGCAAATTGTCTCTTTATTGAAAAAAACTACTGCTAAAGTTGTTTTTGGGGCTTCTGAAGATCCTTAATATTAATTTTAAAAATATCAGTATATAAGCTTGGTTATTGCTATTTTTATTATATAGGCGCATATATTTAATTGATTTGATTACTATAAAAATGAAAATATGAGTTTAACGTATGAGAAAGCTCAAGGTTGCTCAGGGAGCTATGGAAAGAGCAATATTCGTTTTTTTAAAGATTGACAAATGAGGAAATCCGCAGTCGAAGCAGAGTAACCGACATAACCTAACCGATTAATAAGCTAATGTGGCAATGGGCAGGCCTTGTAGATAGAAGAACTGACAACCGGTGGGGAAGAAAGGTTCTCGAATATCAACCATATACCGTTAAGCAAAGTATAGGGCCGCCTCCGACCAGATGGAGTGACGCCTGGTAAGATATGCAGGAAGTCGATGAATGCAGGTGGCTCAGAACCGTACTGTGTGCAGTGGCGAAGCTAGGACTCCAAACTAGAGCTAGCCCAAGATATGGTTTTGTTGATTTTAGCAGTTTTATAAAAATACACCAATTTTGATATGTCCCCACTCTTCAGTTTCATATTCAGTTCTGTCGAGGACTAAGCACACAGAAGGCATACTACTGCTAGATAGATTGTATGACATTTCAGCAATTGCATACCTTCGATGGCTTTGAAAAATCCGTTTGGGTTTGCTTGAGCGAAAAAAGTTATTTACATATAATACAATACATGAACAAAAGAAAATCATGGACAAAATACAAACAAACTATATACAAAATTAAAAAAAAAATTATTTATATTCTAAATCGAATCATCTCTCTTTCTTAAGATTTGATTACGTAAAATGTTGGTGAACGTTTTAATTGTACTCGATGCGAGTTTTCATTACATCAGGGACAGAATGAATAAAGTCATTTTGGATTGTACAAGATAAATAACTCGGCCATTTGTCGCTTTGTTGATGCTGCATCGACTCATGGACGTGACGTGACCTCTGGTAAAGGAAGTTCTTGTTGTGCTAAATGGCAACAAATATCGACTAATCTTTAAAAACACTACGGTTGTAATCAACACACATGTTGTGTTTTGTAATTTCTTCGGATAATTGGCGCGACAAAGTTGTTTCAATACGATTTTTTTCAAAATTAGGTACTAAACGAAATTACCGCATTCATGTGTTTTTGAGAATTTATATACCTGTTAATGGCTCCAGATAAGTTATTTAAATTCATCATACATGTATTATTCATGATTTTACGTTTTCCTCGCCGATTAGCTCTTTACCACACTTCAATTCATCACAAGGCACACTATTATCCTACATTTTCACTAAAATCTTTAAAAAAGCATAAATTTTCAACTCGCAATATTCATTCGCTCAAGCTTGAAATGTGAAGTGAACTTGCAAACGTTTCGCCCGCGCGCCTCTGCGCTCGACTAACTAACTTCATACTGAAAGCCTGGCTTTTTCGCTGTACTAATTGCTATATATACAATCGTAGTTATATTTCATCATAGAACATTTTGATCATCTTCTCGAAAGCCCGGTTAAAAGACAATTTCAATTGAAAATAATCAAACCAAAAAACAGCAATAGCCCATCACGTCACGCGACATAGACCGACCCAATACAGTAATCTATTGGCGGGCCTCACTGCGACGTCACTTTCTTTGCTGATATGTACCTACTGAAGGTGAAAAAGACCAACCAAGATGAACAATTGACACTCGTTGAATGACTCAAGGTTTGCGCAGTCGTTTATATACTGCTTGTACGAGTGGGGGAGTTTTTTTTTTAGGATAGATACAAAAGCACACAGAAAACCGAGAGACACAAGGCGAAAAAAAAATTTTAATTTATTCTGTATTAATAAAAAAGACAGTTATAATAATAAAGAGACGCGTGGTTGGAAGAAAACGGGTGACAAACGAGCACACAGTCCACATGATGGTAAGTGGTTGCTGTGGCCCATAGACATCTACATGTATCCTCGATTACGAATCAAAATGCAGATGCGTTGTCACCCGTGAGGACTAAGATGGAATGCCTCGTTTCTAATAAAAAGCGTCTCCGGTTCTCTACACTCACCACACGAAACACAACAGCATTAAGCTACTATTTTACGCTGGTATTCTGTGAGAGCGTGGTCCTTCCCCGGTCCAGCCGACCCATTCTTGCTACCACTATACTACTAATATAACCGCTTTTTAATAATCTACTCTCACTCTTAACATATATTTAATAAATAAGTAATAAGGATATAAGATTCACTAAAATGCAATAAATAGAATATATAGAATACAGTGCCGTGTAGTGGCGGTTAAGAATATCCACTACCCCATATCTTCCCGTGGGTGTCGTAAAAGGCGACAGAGGGAAACAGGCAGGAGATGGGCAGCAGCATCTTCCTGATAACAGCAACTGTACGACAAAAAAAAACTGCGGTTGCCAACCCGGTCGCCAAGCGTGGCAACTATGGCAATATACCCCCCCATGAACAATTACACAAATAGACGGCCCCCAGTCCCCGGCGGCCCCGCTATTCCTGGCTACGGTGGCGACCATGGTAACGGCGGGGCAGGGGGTGCTAAGAATCTCCGGTGGAGGTTCGGTTGCCACCTACGACGACTCGACCTGGCAACATTTAACGCACGCACACTGAGGACTGACGAGAAGATCCTGGAGCTGGAAGAAGAGATAGACAAGTTGCGCTGGAGTATTATAGGATTATCCGAGGTCCGAAGAGAGGGGGAGGACACGGTGATTCTCGAATCCGGCAACTTGTTCTATCACCGGGAGGGCGACCATCTGTCCCAAGGAGGTGTCGGATTTATCGTCCACAAGTCTCTCGTCAACAACGTTGTAAAGATTGGGAGTGTGTCGACGAGGGTCGCGTACCTGATACTCAGAATCACCAAACGGTATTCGCTGAAGGTCATACAGGTTTACGCACCAACCTCGGCACATTCCGATGAGGAGATGGAGGAAATGTATGAGGAATATTTCCAAAGCCATGCATTCCACCAAAACCCACTACACGGAGTTGATGGGAGACTTCAACGCAAAACTAGGCACAAGAGACAACGGTGAGCTGAAGTTAGGGAAATTTGGAGTAGGGCAACGGAACCGAAGAGGCCAGCAGCTGGCCGACTTTATGGAGAAAGAGGGACTTCTTTATGATGAACTCTTTCTTCCAGAAGCGGCCCCACAGGAAGTGGACCTGGTCGAGCCCCGACGGTTCGACAAAAAATGAGATTGACTTCATTATGACGACCAGACGCCAACTGTTCAGTGATGTCTCAGTGATCGCAAGGGTGAAAACTGGCAGCGATCACCGAATGGTTAGAGGCACACTGAACCTAAATGTTAAGTTGGAGAGGTCTCGTCTAATGAAGTCAACGCTCCGTCCCCCTCGTGCTCTAATTCAAAATCCCGAAAACTTTCAGCTCGAGTTACACAACCGCTTTCAGTGCCTACAAGATTGCAATGCAGTAGACGATGTGAATGACAAGCTCGTGGAAACTGTCCATGCGGTCGGAGCTAAGTTCTGCAATACCCGCCGCAGAAGAACACAAAAACTCACCGATCACACTCTTAATCTCATGGCTGTTAGACGGGAGATGAGGCTGCAATTGTCAACAGATTTGACAGCATACAGGCAACTGAACAGACAGATCTCCAAATGCATGCGGCGAGACTTACGCAACTTTAATACTGCTCGTATTAAAGAAGCGATCGAGCGGAACCAGGGCTCCAAAGTCTTTGCCAGAGATCTGTCTGCCCGTAAGAGCCAACTGTCAAGGCTGAAGACTGAGTGTGGCAGCATCGTTTCCGGGATACCTGAGATTTTGAGTGAGATTGAGAGGTTTTATGGGCAGCTGTACACATCATCGTTGGAGCCACACGCAAGTGTGAGTAACGATCCAAGAGCAAGTCTTATCCGACACTATTCCGATGATATCCCGATGAGATTAGAATGGCTCTCAGCACCTTAAAAACGGCAGGGCCCCAGGCGAGGATGGAATTACAGCGGAGCTTCTGAAAGCGGGTGGAACACCGGTACTTGAAGTCCTTCAGAAGCTCTTCAATTCCGTCCTCCATGGTGGCACTACTCCAGAGGCGTGGAGCAGAAGTGCGGTGGTCTTGTTCTTTAAGAAAGGCGACAACGCTCTCTTGAAGAACTACAGACCGATTTCCCTTCTGAGCCGCGTCTACGTGCTGTTTTCGAGAGTCATTACGAATCGTCTCGCACGCAGACTCGACGACTTCCAGCCTCCCGAACAAGCCGGTTTCCGAAAAGGCTTCAGTACCATAGACCACATACATACCCTGCGGCAGATTGTACAGAAGACTGAAGAGTACAATTTGCCACTTTGCCTGGCGTATGTGGACTATGAGAAAGCCTTTGATTCCGTCGAAATTTGGGCGGTGCTGCAGTCCCTTCAGCGGTGCCAAGTTGACTGTCGGTATATCGAAGTGCCGAAGTGTTTGTACAGTAGGGCTACGATGGCTATCCGAGTACAGAACCAGA